CTAAATTCAGGAGGAATATATTCAAGGTCATATTTTGGCTCTTGTGGACTTCTATTAATTGTCTTCAAACTTCAACTTGTACTTGCATATGAGCAGTTGATGGTCTGTTCCACAAGCAGCTCCTGGCCTTGTTTAGGCTGAAGATATTGAGCTTTTCCATCTCCCTTCCCATAGATATAGTAAATCTGACTCCTGTGTATACCATCTGGCAAAATCCCTGTGTATAGCCTCCATTTGTGTTGTTGAAAAAATGTACTTGCAATGAATAAGTCATTCGTCTCGCAAAATTCTATCATGCGATCTCCAGCATTATTTCTGTCACCAAGGCCAAATTTTCCAACCACCGGTAATTCTTTTTTGTTTCCAATGTTTGCATTCCAAGCACCAGTGATAATTAATACATCTTGATTGCATGTTAGGTCAATTTCAGACTGCAGAAGTTGATAAAAATCTTCAATCTCCTCATCTTGGGCTTTGGTGGTTGGTGCATAAATTTGAATAATAGTAGTATTAATGGGTCTTCCTTGTAGGCATATGGATATTATCCTATCACTGACAGCATTGTACTTCAGGAGATATCTTGAAACATCCTTTGTGATGATGAATGTCATGCCATTCCTCTTCTAATTGTCCTTCCTGGCATAGTAGATCATGTGGTTGTCTGATTCAAAATGGCCAAAACCAGTCCATTTCAGCTCACTAATGCCTAGGATATCAAACTTATGCATTCCATTTCACTTTTGACAACTTCCAATTTTCCTAGATTCATACTTTGTACATACATTTCATGTTCTGATTATTAATGGATGTTTGCAGCTGTTTCTCCTCAATTTGAGTTGTGTCATGTCAGCACATGGAGGTCCCAAGAAATTTAGTTTATCCATATCATTAAGGTTGGTTCTACTCTGATGAGGCAGCTCTTTCCAAGTCCTATTTTGAGTGCCTTCCGACCGAAGGGGCTCATCTTCCTTCACTGTGTCTGACAGGGTTTCCAAGCTATTCATAAAGTTGCCCAGTAATGTATCAGACAGTGTTTCTCTGCTATTCATAAGGTTTTTCCTGGCCAATTTTGTGAGAAGTGGATAGCCTCTTCCTTCTTCCTAGTCTATCTCAGTCTATAATCTGCATTGAAACCTGTGCACCATGTGCAACCCTGCTGGCATTTGAAACACCAGTGGCACAGCCTCAATCCTCACAGTAATGTGCAAGCCCCACAGGATGACAAACTGACAGACAAGTTTGCCTCCCTTGGCTGTTGGAAACCTCTCCGCCCTCCCCTTACCTAATTCCTACCTGGACCCTGCCACTTTCGTGGTCCCCAACACTCCCTCCCTTTCCTGGCTCTGGGGGCTGTGTCCACTACATTTAGTACAAGGTAAATATAAACATAAATATTTAACCAAATTGAGATAATTAGAGTATAAATATGTTTCTTATAAATATCTGACAATATTGCAAATTATGTGGTTCTATAAAGTTGTTGTTGTTAGGTGCCATCGAGTTGGCTCCAACTCATAGTGACCCTGTGTACAACAGAACTAAACACTGCCCAATCCTGTGCCAGCCTCACAATCCTTGCTATGCTTGAGACCATTGTTGCACCCACTGTGTCAATCCATCTCATTGATGGTCTTCTCCTTTTTTGCTGACCATCTACTTTACCAAGCATGATATCTTTCTCTGGAGAATGGGCCCTTCTTACAAAATGAGCAAAGTATGTGAAAGGAAGTCTGGCCATTCTCACTTCCAAGGAGCATTCTGGCTGCACTTCCTGCAGGACAGATTTATTCGTTCTCCTGGCAGTCCATGGTATTTTCAGTATTCTTCACCAACACTACAATTCAAAAGCATCAACTCTTCTTTGGCCTTTCTTATTCATTGTCCAGCTTTCACATTCATACGAAGCAATGGAAAATACCATGGCTTGGGTTAGGCACACCTTAGTCTTCAAAGTGACTTCTTTACTCCTTAACACTTTAAAGAGATCTTTTGTAGTACATCTGCTAAGTGTAATATGACATGTGATTTCTTGATGGCTTCTTCCATAGGTATTGATTGTGGATCCAAATGAAATGAAATCCCTGACAACTTCAATCTTTTCTCCATTTATCATGATCTTGTTTTTTGGTCCAGTTGTGAGGGTTTTTGTTTTCTTTATGTTGAGGTATAATCTATAATGAAGGCTGTAGTCTTTGATCTTCATGAGTAAGTACTTCAAGTCATTTTCACTTTCAGCAAGCAAGGTTGTGTCATCTGCATATCGCAGGTTGTTAATGAGTCTTTCTCCAATACTGATGCCATGTTCTTCTTCATGTACTTGTTGTTGTTATGTGTCATCGAGTCGGACTCGACCCATAGCAACCCCTCCTTGGGTTTCCGAGGCAGTATCACTACGGAAGTAGATTGCCCCATCTTCCTTCCAAGGAGTGGCTGGTAGATTTGAACCACCAACCTTCTGGTTAGCAGCCAAGTGCCTTAGCCACTATGCTACCAGAGCTTCTCAAATTATTTGTTCAGCATACAGATTGAATATGCATGGTGAAAGGATACAACCCTGATGCACACCCTTCCTTATTTTAAGCCACACAAGATCCCTTTGTTCTGTTCAAATGACAGCCTCTTGATCTATGTATAAGCTTTTCATGAGCACAATGATGTGTTTTGAAATTCTCATTCTTTGCAACATTATCCATAATTTGTTAAGATCCACACAGTCAAATGCTTTTGCACAGTCAACAAAATACAAGTAAACATCTCTCTGGTATTCTTTGCTTACAGTCAAGAACCAGCTGACATCAGCAGTGATATTCCTCTTTTCACATGCTCTTCTGAATCCAGCTTGCATTTCTGGAAGTTCCCTGCTAATACATTGCTGCAACCATTTTAAAATTATCTTCAGCAAAATTTTACTTGCATGTTATATTAATGATATTATTTGATAATTTCTACATTCTGTTGGATTGCCTTTCTTTGGAATGGGCACAAATATGGATCTCTTCCAATCAGTTGGCCAGGGAACTGTTTTCCAAATCTCTTGGCATAAACAAGTTGCTTCCAGTGCTGCATTCATGTGTTGAAACATCTCAATGGGTATTAATTCCCTCAATTCCTGGAGCCCAGTTTTTTTTGCCAATTTCTTCAGCGCAACTTGTATTTCTTCCTTCAGCACACTTTGTTCTTGATCATATGCTACCTCCTGAAATATCCCACTACATATCTGAATAAATACTTAGTTTTTTGCCCAGAGTTGCATGTTTTGATTCTGAGAACAGTTGGTCATCCTCCACAAGAAAATCTTAGAGACTGGACCTTTCTCTCCCCTCCACCCTTGTAGAGCTCTTTGCCTATGTAGAAATTGTAGAACACTTATTAATCTTCTTTTTCTGTGCACCCTCACTGCATGTACAGCAAAGCCTGACTGGGTGATTTTCACCCCCAGATAAATGTCTTACTCCAAAATCCAAATTTCTTTACTCTTTCCTCAGAGACCTTTGTGACTGACCATGTTGTTATCTTTGTGCTTCTGCTCTGCAATTTCTCCAAAACCTTCTGGAACAAGGCAGAGAGCAGTCATGCTCATGGACCTTGGCATGGAACCCTTTTTGTTTAGAAAAAAAAATGTTTTGAAAAGAAAATGGTCAAGCTTCTCAGAAGCATTTACAGAATAATTTTCTAAAATGTATTCAGGCTTTCAAAGTTTCAGACCAATCTTTGGATTACTCAGAGTACTCTTAGGAATACATTTCAAATTCTTTTGTGTATCAAGCTCCTTAAAGGGAGAATTTAACAGAGCTCAGTGATGCAAAGAATTCATTTGCCTCAATCACTGTACTCTGAGACCTCCCTAAACTAGACTCTGTGTTCCTTGAGGTCTCACTTTTTAAATTTTCCTGGCACATACCCAGTGATGAGTACCCGATAAATATTGAATAAATGAACAAATCAACCACCTAGCAAAGCATTTTTGCAAATTTTGAGTCAAAGCTAAAATAGTCCATCTCCTCCCAAGCTCCATGCAGTGAGGATACATGCAATGCTAAGACGCATCAACCTTCCAATCCTCGCTTTGCTGCCCTATTGAAGACTGGTCTGCTGTGAAATACTGGATTCAGTCTGTCTGTGCTTTTTGAGGCAGAAAGGGCTGACATGCATTTAATAATAAACCCCCGAAAGACTTCCCTTTATTTCATGACCTGAAAGAACCTGTCAAACTCCTTTCTCAGCAGGTTCTGACGTGCTTTTATGAATCATTTAATGGATGGTTCACCTTAAAATCATCCCAAGTCAGACCACTTTCCATCATCCTTATTTTCATATTAGTCCTCAAATAAAAAAGACACATCATGAAGAAAATGAAGCAATAAATGAGCTCAGTAGTCTGCCCAAAAATTTCACAACAGATGCTGGGAAGCTTGTACTTCAAAAGCCAACTCTCTTCTCTCCCTCACTCAGGGCACTTTCATTCAGCCCATTATGTCTTGCTCCATCCCTAAGCAGGATCCTAAGAGTGCAGTCCTAGAAGATGCTCACACACCTCGTCAGTCAAACACAAAGCTGGACTGAGTTTCCCTTTGCTGGGTTGCTTGTCAGATGTCTTACTTGCAATCCTTTCATATTCACCACCCAGCCTCAAGAGATTTTTCTCTTCACCTACACCTATCCTGGAGGTAGAAGCTCTGGTGGTGTACTGCTTAAGGCATTTGACTGCTAACCAGAAGGCTGGCGGTTCAAACCCACCAGCCACTCCTCAGAAGGAAGATGGGGCAATCTACTTCCATTGAGATACCATCTCAGAAACCCAAGGAGGGGTCACTATGAGTTGAATCAGCTCGACATTTTTGGTATGTATCCTAGAGGTTGTGATCTCTGCTGGCTGCCAACTCACTGGAGAAGAAGGAAGGAGAGGGCTTAACTTTCAGGTCGGCTTTTGACTCTCTTCAGGAGGCTGACCCATTCTGACAGCACAGGGGCTTACCTCTAATGCCTCACTGATCACTCACCTTCAGTTTGTCCCGCTGCCTCATGTGGGCCATGAGAAGGTCTCGAGTGGACTGTATGCCTCTGGACAGCTCTGGCTCAGCAAGACAAGCCCCAAACATCTGGAGCATCTGGGCAGTGGTCTTCACTGTCAAGGCAAAGTTTTCGATGGCCTGGAAGGTCAGACAATCACAACAATGTCAAGAAATTAGCATCGAACAATATGTTCTCTCAATACAGGAGCAGTAAACCTAGCTATCTCAATAGAAGAGCAGCAGACCTAGGAACAAGGGAAACCCTCACTGAGATGAATTGACACAATAGTCACAACAATTAAGTCAAATATGAAGGTGGCAGAGGACTGGACAAAGTTTTATTCTATTATACATAAGGTTACCATGGGTTAGAGCCAACTTGATGCAACTAACAACTAACAACAAAAAACTAGAGCTACCATTTGCTGAGTACCTGCAATGTGCCACACACTGTATTCAGTGCTATACATTTGTCTCTTATTTCAATAATCCCATGTGGTAGATATTTTATCTCCATTTTATATGTGAGGGAGCTGAAGCTCCAGCAGGTTAAGTGAATTTCTCAAGATCAAATTGCAAGAAAGGAAGGAAGGGAGGACTCAATTAAGGTCAGCTGCTTCACATTTGTGGCTCTGTTCAGTAGTATCAGAAAACCCAACATTAAGTATCACTCAAGATGTACATGAGGTGAAATGCTGAAAAGGGCAGGACCACCCAAACTTCCATCTAAAAAACTTTCTTCTCCTCTATCTTTATATTGCCTCCAACACCTCAACAGCCTCTGAAAACCTTGTCAAGTGCTGCTGAGAGGAAATAATTGAAGAAAAAGATGAACGTAGTGACAAGTCGTTAGTGATCTTCCAGAGAGTTATTTCTGTAAGATGTGGGGAGAAGTCAGGGATCTTTACTTTTCACATCCCCTTTATAAAAATTTGCCTGTCCTTTGTTCCTGGATCTTGGCTGAAAGCAGAGAATACCACAAGAATGTTTACTTGTGTTTTATTGACTATGCAAAGCCATTCAACTGTGTGGATCATAACAAATTATATAGATAGGACTATAAAGAATGGGCATTCCAGAACACTCAATTGTGCTCATGTGGAACTAGTACATAGACCAAGAGGCAGTCGTTTGAACAGAATGAGGGGATACAGCACGGTTTCAAATCAGGAAAAGTGTGTGCTAAATTGTATCCCTTCAGCATGTGTATTCAATCTGTATGCTGAGCAAATAATCCGAGACGCTGGACTATATGAAGAACACAGCATCAGAATTGGAGGCAGACTCATTAACAACCTGTGATATGCAGATGACTCAACCTTGCTTGCTGAAAGTGAAGAGCACTTACTGATGGAAATCAAAGACTATGCCCCTCAGTATGGATTACACCTCAATATAAGGAAAACAAAAATCATCACAACTGAACCACTAAGCAACATCATTATAAACAGAGAAAATATTGAGCTTATCATGATTTCATGTTACTTGGATCCACAATCAATGCCCATGGAAGCTGCAGTCAAGAAATCAAATGATGTATTGTGTTGGGCTAATCTGCTGCAAAAAAAACCTCTCCTTAAAGTTTTAAAAAGCAAAGATGTCACTTTGAGAACTAAGGCGCACCTGACCCAACCCATGGAATTTTCAATCGCCTCATGTGAATGTAAAATCCAGACAATTAATAAAGAAGACCAAGGACCAAAGAAGAACTGATGTATTTGCATCATGGTGTTGGCAAAGAATATTCACCATGCCATGGATTTCTGGAAGAATGAACAAATCTGTCTTGGAACAGCCACAATGCTCCTTAGAAGCAAACATAGTGAGACTTTGTCTCATATACTATGGACATGTTATCAGCAGGGAGAGAAGGACTTCATGCTTGCTCAAGTAGAGGCTCAGTAAAAAAAGTAGAAGACTGGATTGACACAGTGGGTGCAACAGTGGGCTCAAACATAGCAATGATTGTGAGGATGGCACAGGACCAGGCAATTGTTTGTTCTTTTGTACATAGGGTTGCTATGAATTGTAACTGAGTTGACGGCGCCTGACAGCAACAACCACACTCCACTGTGGATCTCATGTTGAACACTTCTGTTATTAATAAAGGCACATTTTTTTTCTTTTGCAGATAAATTTTGCAATGAAAGGCATTTTCATAGAATACAACATTTTCAATATTAGTTAATAAATGTTATCTTTTATCCAACATGGAAACAATATACTGTGGCAGAGTAGTGTGGTGGAGCCGACTTGATGGCATCTAACAACGACAACATCTTAAGAAAGTAGAGTAAGAATAGCACACTAAGCCCATAGTAACCAGGAGGAAGGAAAAAAAAAAAAAAAGGATTAGATCAGAAATTCATGAAACAGAGAAGAGAAAATCAATAAAACCAAAAATTTGTTCTTTGAAAATATCAACACAATTGACAAATTTCTACCCAGAATGACTTAGAAAAGAAGAAAGAAGACTCAAATTACTAAAATCAGAAATGAAGAAGGGGACATTACCTTCAACCTTACAGAAATTAAAAGGATTATAAGCAAATACTGTGAATAAAATTTATGCCAACAAATTAGATAAATCAAATGAAATGGACATATTCCTAGAAAGATATAAACTACCAAAAGTGACTCAAGGATTAACAGAAAATCTGAATAGATATATAAAAAATAAAGAGATTGAATTAATAATAATAATAAACTACCCACAAAGAATAGCCCAGGCCCAGATGGCTTTACTGGTAAATTCTATAAAAACACTTAAAGAATCAATACCACAAACTCTTCCAAAAGCCAGTATAATACTGATACCAGAACTAGAAAAATACAACACGCACACACAAACTAGAAAACAAAACAACAACAAAAAACTACAGACCAATTGTCTTCTATGAATATAGACACAAAAACACTCAACAAAATACCAGAAGACTGAATCCATCAATTCAAAAAAGGATTATACACCATAACAAAATGGAATTTACCCCAACAATATACAGATGATTTAACAACACACACACAAAAATCAATCAATGTAGTACATCATATCAATACAATTGTTGTTGTTGTTAAGTGCCGTCGAGTCGTTTCCGACTCATAGCGACCCCATGCACAGCAGAACGAAACA